GTGCCTGACTATCGTGTTCACCATCAGGCACCATACCGACTCTCGATTCTAGAGGCGACGGAACTCAAGCGTCAGCTTGAGGAGCTCCTTCGACTTGGTTTCATTAAACCTAGTAACTCCCCTTGGGGTGCACCTGTCCTCTTTGCTCGCAAAGCGGACGGAACTCTCCGCCTCTACATCGATTATCGCGGCCTTAACCGTTATACGGTTAAGAACAGTTATCCCATGCCCCGCGCGGATGAGCTGTTTGACCGTATGGCAGGCGACCGCTTCTTCACGAAGATCGATCTTCGTAGCGGTTACCACCAGATCYGCTTTGCCGCAGAGGACCAGCCGAAAACCGCTTTTCGGTCGCGCTTCGGCCACTACGAGTTCACGGTGATGCCATTCGGCCTCACCAATGCACCCGCTACCTTCCAGACGGCGATGAACGACATCTTCAGGGACATTCTTGAAGAATACATTCTCGTATACCTGGACGACATCCTGGTCTACAGTCGTACCTTAGAAGACCATATCAGACACCTCCGCGATGTCCTACATCGCTTACGCAAGCATGGCTTTTATGCCAAGCTCAGTAAGTGCCGCTTTGCCGAGCGCAAAGTGGACTTCCTAGGACACCATGTGTCTGACCAGGGTCTCCACATGGACGACGCGAAGATCACTGCTATTGCAAAGTGGCCCGTCCCCACATCTGCCAAGCAGCTTCGCAGCTTTCTAGGTCTCACCAGCTACTATAGTAATTTTATCCAGGGATACGCTAGGTATTCCTACGTCCTTACCTCCACCCTCCTCCGGAAGAACCCGCCGTGGTTTTGGACACCCCTCTGCGAGGACGCCTTCCGCGCCCTCAAGAAGGCGGTGACTTGCGCGTCGGTTCTTCGCCTTCCCGATTTTGATCGTCCCTTTATCGTCACCACCGATGCGTCAGATTTTGCAGTAGGAGCTGTCCTTACTCGGATGTTTCCCTCTCCTCTAGATTCACCTTACCCCCACGTTCCTCCTTTCCCCCCCCCTCCTGTTGACACTGCTTCTCGACTGACGCCTATCCTACCACCACTTCCCTCCACTGACAGTCCTCCCATTACTTACTCTCCGACCATCGCGGAGGATGGGACGGTCGAGGCTCGTGCTGGGGATTGCCCGATTGCTTTTTACTCCCATCAGCTACTACCTGCCGAGATAAACTACATTGCCGATGAACGTGAGGTTCTCGCAGTAGTTTATGCTACCCGGCATTGGCGTCATTATCTGCACGGGGCGCCCTTCACGGTGCGCACGGACAACTCAGTTGTCCAGGCTTTCCTCACGAAGCCTAAGCTTTTCCCTCGACAGGCACGCTGGTGGCGTGACTTATCCGAATTCAGTTTCACCACTCAGCCCATCAAGGGTGAAACGAACCGCGTCGCCGATGCCTTCTCCCGCCGTCCTGATCACAATTAGGAACCCATCCATCTTGCTGCCATCTCTATCACGAGTGTTGATCAGTCGGTGATCGACGTGTGTCGCACTCAGTACCGCCACTGCCCCGATTATCGCGTCATCCACGCGACACTGCGGAGTGGCAAGACCGTTCCTTCCTACTCCCTCGGGGAGAACGGCCTCGTGTACTGGCATGGCAGATCTGGTCAGCTAGAACCACGTATCTGCGTTCCCTCCACCGGACAGCTCCGCGTTCAGGCTATAGCATAGTTCCATGACCAGGCAGCTACCGGTCATATGGGTTTCCACAAGACGTTGGCTCGTGTTTGCCGCCTATATGTCTGGCCGAAGTCCAAGGACTTTGTCAAAACCTACATCCAAGAGTGTCCTACCTGCCAGGAGGTGAACAGTGCGAACCACCTTCCGTATGGGTTACTTCAGCCCCTACCCATACCTGAAGGTCGTTGGCAGTCTATCTCGATGGATTTCATTTGTCCCCTCCGCCCACCCACTCAGCGCGGTCATGATACTATCTTGGTCGTCGTCGATCGCTTCACGAAGCGTGCACGTTTTGTTCCGTGCCGCTATCGCATTAGCGCTCGTGAGGTCGCCGACATCGTCTTCGACCGAGTCGTGAGAGATTACGGCTTACCTCAGAGCATCATCTCCGACCGTGACTCGCGCTTTACCAGCACATTCTGGCGACGCCTACACGAGGTGTACGGATCCCAACTCCACTTCTCATCGTCTTACTACCCTCAGACGGATGGTCAGACTGAGGTCACCAACAAAACTCTCGGTAATATCCTCCGAAAGTTTGTTAGGGATGACCAGCAGTGGGACTTACACTTAGCCCACGCGGAGATTGCGTACAACTACGCTGTTTCGCCAGCCACGGGGATGTCGCCATTCTATTGCGACCTCGGCTACCACCCTCGCGTACCTGCGGATTTCCTATGACCATCGCAGTTGCGCCCAGACACTCGTTGCCCTGCGCTTGACGACTGGATGGCCCACATGGCGGCGATTATGAAGCGCGCACACGAGAGTTTAGCTGACTCCCAGACTCGCATGGCCGCACGAGCAAACCGATTACGAATGGATCATCCATTCAAAGTCGATGACGATGTGCTCGTCGACGCACGCCACTTACAGCTCGAAGCAGATATGCTTCGCAAGTTCAGGCGTCGTTTCTTCGGTCCATGCCGCATCCTTCAGGTCGTCGGCTCTAATACTGCCGCTAGTCCGGTTAGCTTCCGTGTGAAGCTACCTGATTACCTTCGACAGGCTCGCGTACACGATGTTTACCACGTCTCCTTGCTGCGTCCTTATCGCAGACCGTCCGAGCGCTTCGCCGGACGCCCTTATGAGCGCCCTCCACCTATCACGGTGGACAGTCACGAGGAGTTCGTTGTTTCCGACATCGTATCACGCCGAGTTACCGACGATACCCCTCCACGCATCGAGTACCTTGTGCGTTGGAAGGGCTACCCTGATGAGGAGGCTACTTGGGAGCCCCTCGAGCACTTGCAGCACGCCAGGATGTTGGTGCGTGCATATGATCGTGCTCGTCGTGCTGGGACATCTGCTTCTACTCAGCCGACTGACCCTCTTCCTCCTCCTCCGGCTAAGGAGATCGCTGAGGATGAGCCCGCTCCCTCTGAGGCCGTTCCTCAGCCGCAGATGGTCGCCTCCGAGCGCCCACAGCGCACTCATCGTCGCCCTTCACGTTACGATGACTGACACTCTTATCCTCCATCTTTCCCCACTAACTCACACCATCAGGTACTCCATCATCAGCTCTTCTTCAGGATGTTAGCGTTTTGCGGCTCTGCTTCGACATTGACTCGACTGCTACTTCATCGACGTCATCGACCGATTCGACGACTTCAGCTACCTTATCGGCTTCAGCTACTTTGGACGTGACTACTTCAC